GAATGCCCTCCCCAACTCAGTCCGAGCAGCTGAGTCCTTAGCCATCTTCAAGAATCGGCTAAAAACACATCTCTTCCATCTTTATTTGACCCTCTAACTCTAGCACTCTCTATTCTAATTCTATTCTTTATAAAAAAAATAAAATAAAAGACTTGCACTCTATTTACTAACTGCTTGTTTTCTTTAAAAAAAACAACAACCTAACACTTGCTTCTCTAATCTTTTTGCATTCTATCTATTTGTTTTCTTTTTATTTATTATACAATTACAATTCTGACTTCTGATTAACAAAAGCAAAAAAGGCCTCTAACACTAGGCCTCTTGCTCTATTCTTTTTCTATTCTATCGGTTTTCTTTTTATTTATTATATGATTTAAAAAAACCTTGCTATGTGTACTTCATTAAGCTGAGACTTGTTATAGCACTTGAATATCATTGCTCTTTTGTTGATTTTGATAGCTTCCATTGTCCTCATTTGTAAGTCGCTTTGGATAAAAGCGTCTGCTAAATGTGTAAATGTAAAATATATATATTCACACATTTTTTTTAATACAAACAAGACACAAAAAGTCTTTGATTTGTGTTTTATGTAAATTGTTTGAGAAGGAAAAACTTTTTTTTTGTAAAGATTCAAAATAAGCATTCACAACTTTAGGTTCTTGCTTTCGCCAATACAATAAAGCTTTAACACTTTTGGAGAAAAAAAACTGCCTTATTGTAAAGTTATTACCAAAGGGAATGCGTTAAAACACTTGATCCTGTTGCAATTACTTTTTTTTTTTTTTTACCACAGTTCAGAATATTCCTGGTACAGTGATTGAGTTTATGAAATGATTCCTGGACCAATATTGAACAGTAAATATAACGTCAGACCTCTTAAGAATATATTACATCATATTCAGGAATCTTCCATTGCAAAAGCCACACACACTTTGAAAAGAGCAGTCATTCATTCCTGTACAACTCTGATCAAATTAAAAATCAAGAATTAAAAAAAAAAATAATAATCTCAAACAAAATACTTCAGTTTTCAAGTATAATAATTTACAGTTTGCAAACAGAAAACAAACAAACTGGAAATTAACAAAAATAGACAATTTACATGTGCTGTGTTTACCAAGAGCTACAAATCATCAAAAAAACTTCTTAGCTGCAAAGATGAGTTCCCAGAGCAAAGCAGATTTGTTGAGCTTGTTCTGGCTATTACATCTTCTCAGCCCGTGACCTCCTGGGTCATTAAAGACCTCAAAATGGCCACACTGGCCCACAGCCCATTTCATGCTGTTTATTTGTCCACGAAATTACTATATTTAACAATAGAAGAAACTGCCAAATTCAACAAACATAATTCAGAACCTGTCTGAAATTGCTATTTTCTGATGGTTTTAATGCTTATTGTTTTAAGAAAAATGATCAGACTCAGTGAAGTGTTACAAAGAGCTTTGTGAAAGAAAACTGTGATCTGAAAGACATTTGAGACTACTAACTGGGGATTTCCTCAATAACGCGAATACTTTGGAACAACTGTGGCCAAATACTATATAAATAAATTGTTTTTTGAAATGCTATTTTTCATTACAATTTATTTATTTTATTTTTAAAATATTGTTTTTTTAACAGTGGCTTTAAGCCAGTAAAAACCTTTGTCAAAGTTGTCGTTTTTGATTTTAATAAAATATATATGGCACCAGGGACACGAGCATTTTTTTTCTGTGATCTATACATTCCTCAGATTTGTAAACTTCTTTTGGATCACGTTTAAATAAAAAGCCTAATTTCTTCTGACCCCCTCCTTTGTTTTTCAAAGATCTTTTCCTCTTTACTGGCTCTGCACAAGATAATCTTTTGCCCCCAAGAGATCCTGTTCAAACACCACACTTGGAAGTAGAAAAAAAAAAAAAAAAAAAAGTAAATGGTGACTCTCGATTTTGTCAAAATAAACCTTTTACAATCCTTAATAATAGTCCTAATATTTGTTCCATTCTATGCATACAAAAATGTCCATATTCAGTGATTTCCATCTTGCCTTTTCATTACATGAACAAGAGAGCTGTTAATTTAAAGACACTGGGAGAGATTTCAGTACCAAAATGTCTGAGGAAGCCTTTGTAGGAAGCCAACAGCTGAAGCTTAAAGGGATAGTTCACCCCAAAATGAAAATTTTATGTTTATCTGCTTACCCCCTGGGCATCCAAGATGTAGGTGACTTTGTTTCTTCAGTAGAACACAAATGATGATTTTTAACAGCCGCAGTGTTTAATTTGGATTTGTCTGTGCATGTTTTTTTTTACTCTCATAGATTTTGTTACCATTGCCATGCATTATACGACTGATAGACTGCAACAGTTGGACTTAAAAATCATCATGTGTGTTCTACTGAAGAAACAAGGTCACCTACATCTTGGATGCCCTGGGGGTAAGCAGATAAACATCAAATTTTCATTTTTGGGTGAACTATCCCTTTAATAAAGCACCCAATCAGAAAGGAAATCAGAAACTCTCTTACCATTTACATACCTCTTAAAGAGCTTTGCATGAACACTGCAACATAAAAATTCACTCACTTGTACATAACGTAGCCAAAGAAGAGGAGAGACTGAACAACGATGAAGATCACAAAGTGTGTGGTAGAGAGGCAGGTGGGTAAAGGAGGAAGTTCAGGACATTTCACTTTCTCTGCAGGATTCTAAGGATCATGACCAACAAGGGGGGGGGGGTTATTGGCAATTTTCTTTGGACACATACGATTTAAAACAATGCAGAAACCACATGGAGAAGTGAAGGGGTGATTGGTAAATGACTAGAGATTCTATAATGTAATGTAGTGTAATGTATAATATGCATTAAGTAATGCAATATAATAAATTATATTATTAGTGTTTTTAATAAATACTAAACTAAAACAATTTGTTACAATATAAGTATCAGTGTTGTTTTAGTATAATATAATACAATATAAAATTTTAAAATAACATTTTAAAAAATATTAAACAAAAAAAAAACTTACAGCATAAGTATCAGTTATTTTAGTATCAACATACTATTAGAATTTTTATTATTATTTCAAATTAGTCTTATTTTTATATATCTGTTTTCATTTTAATTTTAAAATGTAAATAATTTTGCTGCAAATTTTTGGAATTTTTATTATTATTGTTTAATAGGTCTATCGTTTTCATTGTTTTTTATTTCAGTTTTAGTTTTGGGTATTTTAGTATATCAAGTTGAAATCAAATGAGAACTGTTGGCTTGGCAACAGCTGAAATAAAACAAGTATAATTTATGTTTTACCTCAGTTAAAGTTGATTTATTTTATTTCAAATAACCAAAGTTTTAGTTTATTATAATAACCTATAAATTGTATCATGTTATCAAAAACAAAATGGATTGACTGTTTGATTATGACATTATGGTTATTTGCCAGCTAAGCCTCACATATGCTGTGCTATAGGACATAATGTCTATATCAGAAATGCTGGTTTATTTTGAACTTACCACATTTTTCTGAATGATGTGTTCGATGCTCCTCTTGACGACATGCAAATGCTCCTTGATGTCATTGAAATGCTGGACTGTCTCATATGATCCTAGTCCGCCTGCGCTGCCCTGCTGCTGACCCACTGCCAGCTGCTTAAGTGAGCCTGACAATGAGTTCCTACAAACCACAACACAACATTACAACATTAGTGCAATGCTTCAATTGCCATTTTAAAAACTTCAAAAACATTCATGATTCAGATGGCATGTAAAATACTATTAATTGTTCAAGAAGAAAAGTTAACATTTTCAAAGGCTTTGCATGCCAGATGCTTCCAGATGCAGATTGTTTTCTGCCTGTTTACATACAAGGGAACAGTATGTCATACAAGAGGATCTTATCAAACAATCAATTCCTCCGAGACTAAGTGTCACAAGACTTAATCTAGGTTTTAAATGCATAAAACAGCATTAAGCTTAGAATATCTGATCTGATTCCTAAGACAAAGCTCATGCTTTTTGGATTTCATGACATTATTTCTCTATTGTAGACATGAGCATTAGGCATTTCCTATCCTCACTCAAAGTATTAAAAAATTGCAACATGTCACGCACCGATCTTTGGAACTAATAGACTTAAACAATTATACATTATCAATATATAATGGTCTCCAAAAAGACAAACAACATTCTGACATTTCAATACGTTTCAATGGATAATTCACCTTTCTGAGCGCTCGTGTAGAGAAATGGCTTAATATGATATTTTTTTCAATACGACTTCTCACATTTGGTAATTCATTTGCCAAAAAAAAAAAAACCTTGGTTACTGTATTTAAAAAAAAAAAAAAAAAAAATCCAAGACTGGAAATACAATTTTAAAAATGCCAGCTATTTTTACAAGTTTTACATGACCATGACACTAATATTCGAATATATATTATTATTAATATTAATATTTATATTAATATAAATTATATTAAAAAATATAAATAATAATATTTGTAAGTCGCTTTGGATAAAAGCGTCTGCTAAATGACTAAATAAATAAATAAAAAATAAAAATATTCACCAACAAAATGGTTATAAAATAACCTTTAAAATAAAAATAAAAATGCAACATTGAAAACACGCAAGAAAATCGAACTAAAGCATCTCCTGAACTCCTATGTCTCAGTGAGCCACAAAACCTAACAAATCAAACACCATGTTCACTTACTGTTCAGCTCTGACCGTTACAAACGTTTTGAGCCTCTCTCACCTCTAGTGGTATCTTGATAGAACTGCATGCAAACGCTGGTGTCCCTGATTACACTGGCAAATGACTACTGCGCCCAAGGTCTTCGGCCAAGAAAATCTTAATATTACAGTGAACTGTCCCAATCTAATCTTTTAAGCCTCCTCTTAACTCTCCCAAAAGGCCATATATCCTTCAGCCTCATAGAAAAAATGAAATTACCACGCAGCTCAAGCAGCAATGATTGCTAAATTAATCTTCCTAAAAAACATAGTCCCTTTTCTTAAACATATTTCAGATGATTAAGAAATACCCATTCAGGCCATGCCACAGCTTTCCTCAGGGGGACGCTTTCATTTGGCTGCTTAAAATGGTCATTAAAGATGGAATATTATTATTATACAAATATTATATGATATATTATACAAATATGACATGAATATATAAAAAGATGATACATTTATAACGGTTGTGAGTATAAACAAACAATCTAGAAAATACTTCAATACCTTTTTTAAATGTACTTATTTTATAATACACTGAAGGGAATTAAATTTAATTAAAAATGTATTGCCAGAACTGTCTTTTAATATATAGTATTTTTTTTTTTATTAATGATCAGAATATTAAAAAAAGAGCGGTGCACATTTTAACCTTTTAATCAGGAACACATCTTTGACTGATCACGTATTATCCTGTGCCTGAACCGCATTTCTTTGGATATCGTCTTCAAAATTCTAAGATGATTATTAGGATAAAAAATATGAGGGGACGGTGAAAATGAAAACGTTCGGTAAGTCATAAGTACAGTCTCTTTGGGGAATTACAAAGACAAGAAAGCAATCAGAAGCAGACTGTGTATTCGCTGGTGTATGATGGATATATTTAAAGATGCGCATATAATCCATCAAACAGAGGCCCATAAGAAGCCTAAACGAAATCAAATTTGTTTCTTATGGGAGAAAAAAATTATTAGACACAAATCTCCCTTGAGGCAAAAAGTGAACATTTAGTAACCCTCCCAGTAATCTTTATCCACTTCAAATGACCTATATGTCAGAAGAAGGCGCTTTTTCCCCATCAGATAAGTCATTTTATAGGGCTAAGATGAGTAAAATGAAATTATGATAAAAAAAAGAAAAGGTCAAGATCTTAATATGTGCATAATCTATAAGATGAATTCGATCAATTGAGCATTTGTTTGTTGCGGACCAAATGCTGTTCAAATACGCGGCAACAGGATTACACAGATTACTGATCTTTTCGATGTCCTTCTGACAATGTGGCCTCAATTTTGCCATTTTGATGAAGACTGCTGTATTATGTTTTGCTAATAGCAATATTAGAGGTAACAATATTTGCATATTCTATAAATAGTGAACCTTTTATAGGTTTAAAAAAAAAAAAGAAGACAGATTTGTTCAAACGCCATCTTGTTAACATGAACAAAATGGTGTAAAGATTCAAGATAGATAATATAAAAGATAAGAATAATGCTTTTTATGTTGTGGTAAAATTCAGTTTTAATAGAATATAGGATGTACAGTGCCATGAAAAGGTTTTTGCCCCCTTCCTGTTTTTTTATTTTTATTTTTTTGCATATTTGTCACACTTAAAAGATTCAGATCGTCAAACAATTTTTAATATTACACAAAGATAACCTAAGTAAATACAAAATGCAGTTTTGAAATAATGATTTCATTTATTAAGGGAAAAAAGCTGTCCAAACCTGCCTGGCCCTACGTGAAAAAGTAATTGCTGGTTGTGCCACCCTTTGAAGCAACAACTGCAATCAAGCGTTTGCGATAACTGGCAATAAGTCTTTCACATCGCTGTGGAGAATTGTTTTAATTCAGCCACATTGGAGGGTTTTCGAGCATGAAAGGACTGTTAAAGGTCATGCCACAGCATCTCAATCGGATTTAAGTCCGGACTTTGATTTGGCCACTCCAAAACCTTAATTTTGTTTTTCTTGAGCCATTCAAAGGTGGACTTGCTGGTGTGTTTTGGATCATTGTCCTGCTGCATAAACCAAGTGCGCTTGAGCTTGAGGTCACAAACTGACGGCCGGACATTCTCCTTCAGGATTTTCTGATAGAGAGCAGAATTCATGGTTCCATCAATTATGGCAAGTCATCCAGGTCCTGAAGCTGCAAAGCAGCCCCAGACCATCACACTACCACCACCATTGTTTGACTGTTGGTATGATGTTCTGTTTATGAAATGCTGTGTTGGTTTTACGCCAGATGTAACAGGACACACACCTTCCAAAAAGTTCAACTTTTGTCTCATCAGTCCACAGAATATTTGCCCAAAAGTCTTGGGGATAAACAAGATATTTCTTGGCAAATGTGAGACAAGCCTTTGTGTTCTTTTTGGTCAGCAATGGCTTTTGCCTTGGAACTCTCCCATGGATGCCGTTTTTCCCCAGTCTCTTTCTTAATGTTGAATCATGAACACTGACCTTAATTGAGGCAAGTGAGGCCTGCAGTTCTTTAGATGTTGTTCTGGGTTCTTTTATGACCTCCTGGATGAGTCGTCGTTGCGCTCTTGGAGTAATTTTGGTAGGCCGGCCACTCCTGGGAAGGTTCACCACTGTTCCAAGCTTTCTCCATTTGTGAATAATGGCTCTGACCGTGGTTCGCTGGAGTCCCAAAGCCTTAGAAATGGCTTCATAACCCTTTCCAGACTGATACATGTCAACTATTTTGTTTCTCATCTGTTCTTGAATTTCTTTAGATCGCGGCATGATGTGTTGCTCTTTAAGCATGCTTCACTTTGTCAGACAGGTTCTATTTAAGTGATTTCTTGATTCATCAGGTCTGGCAGTAATCAGGCCTGCGTGTGGCTAGTGAAATTTAACTCTGCTTTCTAAAATAATGTGGTTAATCACAGTTCTTTCATTTTTTCATGTAGGGCCAGGTAGGTTTGGACAGCTTTTTTACCTTAATAAATGAAATCATCATTTAAAAACTGCATTTTGTATTTACTTGCATTATCGTTGTGTAATATAAAAATTTGTTTGTTGATCTGAATCTTAAGTGCGAAAAAAAAAAAACAAAACAGGAAGGGGGCAAAAACCTTTTCACAGCACTGTAATTAGGTAATTAAAAGATTCAAACAATGCACTTCTGCAACCAAACTCTTAATCTAAATGCATCCGCTACAAACAAATCTCTTGCTTAAATCCTTAACAACAAAACTATAGTTAAGTGTTGTTCTAAAAATCGGTTTAACAATCATTATAATTTGGATACATCCGAGTGTAAAAACAGTCTTTTGTGGGCTAATTCTCTCCTTGCACAGTTAAAAGAGTTTTAAATGCTGTATTTTGGTGTCTAATCCCAAAGCCTTATTGTTTGATTTTGTCTTTGTGCTTTAATCCTTGTTTGTCTACACCTCGCTTCAAAAACACCTGGAGGAAAACAAACAACTGTCCGCTAACAAAACAAAAAATCAATGCTGACATTACAGAGATCAAAACAGAACAACAAACAAATGTATTTAATCTGGATTAAACAATGAACATCTTTAGATCTTTATGTAGAGACACAACGAACATGAAGTTTACAGACAAAACCTAATCTGTTGCGTTGTTCAGTCTTTTGCAAAGGCATGTAATGCACTAAGGCCTGCAAGTAGTTGATTCACTCAGAGATTGTATGCAGCAAAACACTTTATTGGCTAGGAATTTTCTGAAGTATACCATATGAGTTTTTTTATTAGTTAGTTTTAGTTTAAATAAATTTTAGGCTTAGCAATTAGAATACATGTTATTTATAATGTATGCCACTATAAGGATTTGTTGTGGAGTGAGGGAAAATAAAATGTATTTACTGATGCAACGTATGTGCTTTTCTTCTTTCAACAATGCAATTTTGACCAGGTGTGACTTAAAATCAGGCACGACTTATATTTTGGAAAATATGGCAATATTTCAGTTATTTTGGACTGGAGAACAATATTTTTCTTGGGAACTTACCTTACTTCGTTAAGGTTCCTCAAAACCTCCTGTTGTGTGTTAGTAATGGTCTCCATTTCATGACTGGGAGCCTAAATAAAGCATGCAAACTATTAGTTAGGCTCAAGGACAGTTTAGATCATAAATTAGATTAATCACTTCTAAGTATTTAAAGCAATCATAATTTTGGTGCTTCATAAACTGATAAAGCAACATGTTTTAAAAGATGTCAGACTAGATCTAAATATATCTTATGAAGGATTTTGATTGGATCTGAGATGACAAATCTGGTCAACATTAGTGTTCAATGCTTAAAACTTTTTTTTTTTGTTGCCACATTTCAATTGCATTTGTCATATCCTACCTGTCCTGACTGTGCTTGTGACGAGCGTTTGGAGATCTCCTCTGTGATGACTGACACATAACGGCGTTGTTCATCCAGAATCATGGCCAGCTGCCTGTTCAGCTGCTTGATTTCCAGGTGGATTCGATTCTGCCCCTCAAACACCTGACGGATTTCCCGGTCGTTAACGCTTTCAAACAGGTCCTCAACTGCCAGAAGAGAAACACTGAACAGATGTTTTTCTACAAATATGGGTTTTCATTTTTAAACTCTGGAAGTTGAAATTAATTATAGTGGAAACAGTATCTGTTGTAAAATAAAATAAAATAAATAAATACATAAATATACATGAAAAAATACATATATAATATATTAGAAATAAATAACGTTTATTAGACTGCTGCAACAAAATGTGACTAGTCCAATCAGATCTAAGATCAGAACAGGGTTTATAAAAAGTGTATTGGAAAAGTGTGTTTTATAGATAACATATTATCATTCTAGATTTCTGTGTTTTTATGCCAGTTTCTCTTAATGTGTCCAGGACATTTCTTTTGACTATGAACATCATGAAAACCTAAAGCTGAATGTGAGTCTGAGGTCAAAACTTCAGACAGAATGAGAGCAACTCACTGAGCTGCTCCTGGACATCAGGGTGCTCTTTCTGAAACTCCTCTTTCCTTTTGTCCAGCTCTTGTTGGAAATTCTCAAATTCCTCCTGGTACTTGTCCTTCTCCTCTTTGGGAATCTCTTTTTCTGGGGGAGGCTTTATAGAAAGACACAAAACACACATTCAAACCCACTCACGCACATAGACACACTTACACATACTCCAATTATAATGAACAAGAGGAATGGAGTAAGAGGTGGACACTTATGAAATAAGTATGGCCGATTCTTTTTAATCATATACTTAAATGTGTGTACGCGACTGTGTGGGGAGGAAAATGCGTACCAGATTCTGCCCAGGCTCTGTAAGTCTGAACAGCAAAAATGACAGAACGTCATGGTCATCTGTTGAAAACAAAAAATTGTTTAGCCACATTTTTAAAGCTGCAGTGTGCAATTTCAGTACTACCAGCAACACCAAACATGTTTTAAAGTTTAAAATGGCTTCTTTTAGCTATAAATGCTATAAACTATTCATTAGATTACTTTTTATGGCTTAAAGGGACAGTACATCTAAAAATGAAAATCTGTCATCATTTACTCATCCTGAAGTTGTTCCAAACCCGTATGAGTTTCTTTCTTCTGTTGAGCACAGAAGAGGATATTTTGAAGAATGGTAACCAAACAGTTGACGGAAGCCATTGTTTTCCAAAGTACGGAAGAAAAAATACTATGGAAGTCAATGGCTACCAGCAAGAGGCTTTATAGAAAGACACAAAACACACATTCAAACCCACTCACGCACATAGACACACTTACACATACTCCAATTATAATGAACAAGAGGAATGGAGTAAGAGGTGGACACTTATGAAATAAGTATGGCCGATTCTTTTTAATCATATACTTAAATGTGTGTACGCGACTGTGTGGGGAGGAAAATGCGTACCAGATTCTGCCCAGGCTCTGTAAGTCTGAACAGCAAAAATGACAGAACGTCATGGTCATCTGTTGAAAACAAAAAATTGTTTAGCCACATTTTTAAAGCTGCAGTGTGCAATTTCAGTACTACCAGCAACACCAAACATGTTTTAAAGTTTAAAATGGCTTCTTTTAGCTATAAATGCTATAAACTATTCATTAGATTACTTTTTATGGCTTAAAGGGACAGTACATCTAAAAATGAAAATCTGTCATCATTTACTCATCCTGAAGTTGTTCCAAACCCGTATGAGTTTCTTTCTTCTGTTGAGCACAGAAGAGGATATTTTGAAGAATGGTAACCAAACAGTTGACGGAAGCCATTGTTTTCCAAAGTACGGAAGAAAAAATACTATGGAAGTCAATGGCTACCAGCAACTGTTTGGTTACCAACATTCTTCAAAATATCTTCTTTTGTGTTCTCGAGGGTGCGTAAATGATGGTTTAATGGTTGAAAGCAAACTATTTTCTTGTTAGTTGATCCAGCTGAAGGATAACAAAGAAAACACTGGACTTTCAATCTGAACAAGAAAACTTTGTTATGTTTATCCCATACCGGCAAGTCCTCCAGTGGCTGCAGAGATGCCAAAATAACCAGTATCAGGGATGATCATGTTTTCAACTCTGGTGCAGAACTCATAATCATCTTTATCAGGAGTGAAGCCGTTATTGATGAAAACCTGAAACCATTGAGAATATTAAGATGTTACTATAGCTTGGAAATGTCAGATTTTCATTCGAACTTCTTAGTTTTTAAAAAGGTTAAAAATGTACCCAAATTACATGAACATGCAAAAAAAAAATTACCAGTTGTTCAAAAATCTAGTAAATTATCAGGGTCAAAAGGTCCAATTTTAGTTGGATCTTTAGAATTAATATAACTTTGACCTACCGATAAAGTTTTCTGGTAGTAGGTGATTTTGGCACGTACAGGGTAAGGTTTGTTTCTGAAGTCTCTAAGACATGTACCTAGAGACTGGGTTGTGCCATCACTGGAGAAAAATAAATATGGTTTATCAAATACATGCATATATAAACACAAAGACGACGACAACAACAACAACAACAACAACAAAACGTTTCCTTTTCATGTCAATAGGAAAAAAGCTAAATCCTTAATGTCATGAATCAATAAAAAAAACATATCAAGAATATGAAGGTCTATGGTTATGTTTGCGCAGTCTAGCACATATGCTGCTGACAGCTCTCCCCCGCTGGCTCACAGATCTAATTTAATGCTTTCACTGTTACTGCACTCAGATTAAGACAGACAGAGGATTAGACTCTCTCTCATAAATAATCATATTTCCTAATCTCCTTTCGGTTGTAAAAATGAGAGCGCTGATGTCAGCAAGGAGGATATGTTTACTTACTTTTGATGGTCAAAAATAAGTTTTCCATTGTTACCCACCACCAGGACAGCAGGGTTGTTTTTCTACAATAGCAAGGTCACAGAAAAGAGACATAATCCTTATTTAGTACAGAGGAGATAAATCTACTGAGGTGCATTGGTGTTTGTTCCTGCATGAATCAAATGCAAAACACATAATCCTTTGATAAATATATACTGAGCTCTACCTTAAGATGTTTTGACTGAAAAATGCACATCGTTCAAAAACAAACATTATTGGGGCATTTTACAGACACAAACAAGTGTTAATTTTTTTTTTTTACTTAACTAATAATTACAATAAATTCTAGGGTTACAATAAATAATTACAATAAATTCTATTAGGCTGATTAATCAAATCAAATATTAAATTTGCTTTGAAAAGCCCCAAACATTAAGATATTTTAAAAATGTTATATTATTGAGACAGATGAGTAAAAACATTTAATATAAAATGCCTTTAAAAGTCAATATATTGTTTGTTTTCTTTTTTAAAATATTAGTTTTATTCAGCAAAAATGCAACTTGACAACAACAATTCAAAATAACATTTGATACAGCTATAATTGTAAAATAATTTATAATTATAAAACTTATAAAATTAAATAAACAAATCTGAAATAAAATTCTATTTAATTAAATGCAATTTTTTTAATTATACTTGTGTGCAATCACCTTTCCATCATTATCAAAAGAGTCAAAGAATATTCCCACGCCGTTCCACTGATCAGCGGCCCCGTACACATGACCCTCCAGACCTTGACCGGCCGTGAACCATATGGCCTACAGAACACAGAAACACACACACATCAGGCTCTCTTCAGTGAGCATGGGTAATTTGGTAAGTGGTGCTTGAGATCAGTGTGGTCTGCTCCACTGGACTGTGGGACAATTCAAAGAAAGCACATGTTACTTGTACAACACTACATTTTAATTGCTCATTCTACACCGCAAATGCCGAACAACGTGAATTTATCAAGGCTGACCTGTGGATGCTTTTCCTGATAAAACGGTTTATTCTGTACAAAAAGAAGTGCACGTGATAAGATGAAATATCTAAACCTAATGACTTCTAACAATTCAACAAAATCATATTTTGTGCAAGTTAAGCGGTATAGTGCCCAGGAATGCAGCCACACAAAATGAGCGCATGATGAATCATAGTGAGCCTGATATGTAAACCTACAATTTTATGACTATATTTTCACATCTTATGAAAACAAAAAGTGACTTGTTTGCCCATGCAAAACTACCACCACAATGCTAGGGGGTGTAGGCATGTGACGGTATCAAATTTTCATGTTGCGATAATTGCTAATGTTTTTATCATGTTATTGAAACTTAGGGTCAGTTTTACTAATAGCTTGCGCCAGCGCAAACCATCTTTTGGCGTTAAAATTGTACTGTCAGGTTTTACTAAAGACGCGCAGTAATGAATTTGCACTGAAAAGGTGTGGTTGACAGTTATTTTTGCGCTTGAACTTACTGAATATGCATTTGTAGGAGTTTCCCTTTCAGACGAAAAATCTATGGGAGGAGAGTACTCAAATGAATAACGCAACGCGTTTTACTAACGTTTGCGCTCGTCAAATTACTGGCATTTGCGCCATTATTTAACGCACCAAAAAAGAATGTCTTAAACTATTTTGCGCTTGAAATGGCTGCAATTATTGCTAGGTAGTGTTGGGTCGTTCTTGAACGTAAACAATGAATTAATCTTTTCTGTTTCTTATAGCAGTTTTGTATTGTTTGTAGTGTGATCAACGTTTGCGTAAGTAGTAGACATATTAGGGAAGTAACACGTAACATTTTAATTATATTTTGTTAAAATGAACGAAATGACTCGAAAAAAGATTCGTTCATTTTGCTGAACGAGACTCAAAGGTCCGAGTCGGTAAAATGATCCGAACTTCCCATCACTGTTGCTAGGAGGAGGCACCGCAAAGAACAGAGAGCGCGTGGTAGAAGGGAGAGGATTTTTTCCACACGTATTAATTTATTTTGAATGTCAGAACACCACATTATTCGAACATATCGTTTGCCAAGACATGTTATTTTTAATTTGCTTCAGGAAATAAAAGACGACTTGGAACCCTCAACTAAAAGTCACGCAATACCAGGTCTATCAAAGCTTCTAGCAAACCTTCATTTTATGTCCTCCGGTTCTTTTCAACGTACTGTGGCTTCTTTATTACTTTATTCACGACTATGCTAATTTGTGCTGCACTTGGTCGATATGTAAATGAGATGTTGCATCTGTGTTCTTTAATTTGCGCATTGTTAGTAAATCACCCGCAGAAATTTCCCCTCCCATCGGCGCTGTTTTGGAATTGCGCTCTCGCGATAATTTGCCGTTTCGTAAAACTGGCCCTTAGCTGCAAAAAAGTGTTGTCATCATAATACAGTATAACAGGTTTAATAACTTTTTTGTTATAACAAAAAGAGCTGAACATTTAAATACAATAAATTAATACACAAAAAAATTCAAACAGATTAAAGTGCAAAAGAATTATGAAGACCAATAGATAACACTTTACAATAATATCTCGTTAGTTAACCTAATTAACAATGAGCAATAGTAACATTTGCTACAGAAACTGTTATTCTTTGTTAAAAAAATTCAATGTTAGTACGTTAGCTCGGGTTTATTAAATAACAGTTGCAACTTTTAATTTTAACAACAATGTTGAAATTAACTAAGATTAATGCATGTTTAGAAGAATTTTTTCATTGGCAGTTTATGTTAACTAATGAATTTACAAATGTTAACTAATGGAGCCTTAAAGGGTTAGTTCACCCCAAAATGAAAATTCTGTCATTAATTACTCATGTCGTTCCAAACCCGTGAGACTTATACTGTATTATGACAGCACTTTTTTTTAACTTAATTTCAATATCGTGATAATACCGCATATCGTGATAAAAGCATTAGCAATTAATCGCAACATGAAAATTTGATACCGGCATATCCCTAATCACAACGCATACGCACACTTTCCCCCAAGTGTAAACAATGCTGATTACGCAGATTACGTTCGTGCGCGCGCTTTCCCCCGAACGTAAACAATGCTGATTACGTTGAATACATTCTTGGATACTCTCCAAAATGTCGGTAGACGTAACTCGATGGAGAAGAATCGTTGAATAAATTCTGTTATTTTTGTTTTCTTTGCGCACAAAAAGTATTCTCGTAGCTTCGCAAATTTGAAGTTGAGCCACTGATGTCACATGGACTGTTTTACCGATGTCCTTACTATGTTTCTGGACCTGGGAACATTACAGTTGCGTTGCTGTCTATGGAGGGTAAGAGAGCTCTCCGATTTCATCAAAAATATCTTAATTTGTGTTCCGACCATGAACGAAGGTTTGGAACGACATGAGGGTGAGTAATTAATGACAGAATTTTCATTTTTGGGTGAACTAACCCTTTAATGTAAAGTGTGACCGAACACAGCATACAGCGGTGTTGTGCATTTTAACCAGTTGATGGGAAAATAATTCTTAAAATGCATTAGAAAAATCTGAATAATTTGTAATAAATAATTATTCAAGGTATTTTGAAGTGCCCATGATAACAAAATCGTGCAAGTTCATTATTGTGATATATCGCATTACCTAATACCGGCACATGTCTACTAGGGTGTTCTGGGTGGTTGCCCTGGCAAGACTATGCAGGTGTTCTGAGAGGCTGTTCTATGCGGTTAGTAAAAATTTTCCACCATCAAGTCTCTATGATTTTCTGATCTCTACATATGACTTCACAGGAAGTAGACACACTGCTTCAATGTTTCGCAGTTTCTGTTTGACATATGCGTCCTTCACACATCAGAAAAAGTTTTGCACTTGTGTTATGTACAAGTTTTAAACGTCATGTTTATTAGCAAAATTGCAAGAAAAAAAAGTATGGTTTCCGCAAAAAACATAAGCAGCACAACTGTTTTCAACATTGATAATAAGAAATGTTTCTTGAGCAGCAATTCAGCATATTAGAATGATTTCTGAAGGCTCATGTGACACTGAAGACTGGAGTAATGATGCTGACAATTCAGCTTTACATCACAGAAATAAATTTGATTACAAATTATCTTAAAATAGAAAACAGTTATTTTAAGTTGCAATAATATTTTACAATAACAAGTTTTTACTGTAGAGTTTTGTTTAAATAAATGCAGCCTTGGTGAGCATTACTATGGAAGCTTGTTTCTGCCAAGGAATAAAAAAATATATATAAAAAAGGTAATTGGGACATTTTATCTCATAATTCTGACTTTCATCTCATGATTCTCGCAAATGTGAGTTAATATCTCACAATTTTGACTTTACTTCGAAGACCAGTGAGAAAAAAATGTCTAAACTGTGAAATATGCACAAAGTCAAATTTTAAGTAAAATTTAAAGTCAGCATTGTGAGATAAAAAAAAAATTCCATGCCAGAAATAAGCTTCCATACATAAAAGACTTCTTTAAAAAATATTTTAATATTTAAATATCTGTATCTTACAAACGAAAGTGTACATAGAAAGCAATTTCTAGTACACTACTTGGAGTATGCACACTGGAGAAACCAGGGTTAAATGCTCAACTTAAGAACTCAAAAGGGTTCTATCAGTAATACTTTAGCCAAGCTCACAGATCACCCCGATCTTGGATTCAACCCGTGGCACTAGCTCAAGGCTGTCATACCCCTAAAAGGGTCAACATGACCCTCCACTGTCATAAAGATACCAGTTTGTGTCTGTCTGTGCTTCTGTATGTTTTGTGGCTATAGGCATTTGAAATGTAGAAATGAGGCTCGCATAAACAAATGTCAGTTCTTTTATATAATATTTATTCGAAAAATATTCATAATTATTTTCCCCCTCCTTACCAATCCATCCGCTCCCATTCGTCCTCGTCCAGACACACGAAATGCCACTTCAGCTTCCCAGTGTTCAAAACTTACAGGGGTTTTTGTCCATACCGAACCCTTCTGGCTCCGCAGAGAAGGGGTGATTCGGATCTGATCCGAACTAGGAATGGCATCTGGAGAAAAGGTGGAAATGGGAAAATGCATGAATAAAAAAATTTTTCATAATAATATTAAGAATATTCTGATCATTGAGCAACCTGATTTGATGTAAACAAGTTTTCCAATTCATCTTTATTTTTTATATTAAAAGGTTGTTTCTCAAAACCAGGAAGAGCCGAGGTAAGAAAGCTGGTTTCTAAGCATTTGTCAGTTACCAGCCCCATCAGTATATCTTACATTAGAGAATATAGTAAGTATTCATGCTACATAATTTCATTATCACACACCCATGTGTAATATCTGGCACAATACCAGGTTTATGAGTAGAGACTTCCCTGACTGCATTCATCTCTGTTGAGATAAATCTATTTAAACAGAACAACATGACAGAAACCACATTAAATCTGAGCAATAAGTAAACAGCATTTATTGCTCTTGCCGGCTAAGAGATTTAGGAAGTGTTGCAAAACAGAACTTTGCTCTTCGCACATGCCGAGACAGTTTTGTTTAACCTGTTAGGAAAGCTAGTGCCATGTCAGCTGTGAAACTGCAAGCATATATTTATTAATCACAGTTTTAACAATGTCACCAAGATTATGTAACAAAAATGATCATGTAAATCTGATGACTAATCAAATTGACACTTTTTTAAAATTAAAAAGTAGCTGTTGATTTATCAAAAACAGCTGGCAGTGGACCAAACATATCAGATCAAAATATAATAATTTGCATTATTACAAGTAACCCCACATGCAAAAGCAATGCAATCTATCATCATTCATTCAATAATGACTGCACCACTGGTTCAGTTTATTTTAATGCAACTTCACATAGATTTAGAGGGAAATTTAAACTACACTACATGCACTACACATACTGACAAATGACAGACAGTGATACAGATGGATGAGAGAGGACAGACAGACACCCATCTATAAACTTACTCCCAGTGTGAATCCAGAATGGGATTCTTCCATCACTCTGTGTCAGATGTGGCCCTTTGAAACTGTATTTATACTCAAAGCGCCGGTGCGGCGAGTCCCCGGCAGCGTTGTCGGCGAAAACGTGCGGAAATATTAAAGATATTAGTAATAAATAGGCATAAGCTGCCAGGCACTTGGCTATGGGTACCGCCATGTTTGAGTCTGAGTGCTGACGTAGCGCAGAGAGGGGCGGGATGACTGGAAACGCTGAAGGGCCAACAGGGCGCTCTCTCATTGGCTGAAGCGCTTGATTGACACACGGGGAATTAATAAGCGAACCGCTTTGAGCCTCGTTTTCAGATACTGATGACTTGGTACTAGACGTGTCATAGATAGCGTACTAGTAAATTACTAGAGTTTGATGTGCTTTTATATACAGAGAATGACATTTCAATGGTAAAGAACAACACATATGTTTAATTTATTAGGAAAATACCATATCCATAGGAAGAAGTGGACTCAATGCAAACCAAATTTTATAAATGCCTTTAAATTATATGTAAATCTCTTGGTACAAACCAAAAACAAAAAAGTGCTGAAAACATGTAATGCTCTGAAAGCATTAAAATGTATTTTCTTTTATTTTCTTCTCTCCTTTTCTTTTCTTTTCTCTTCTCTCTGGTTCTTCTCTCATATTAATGTTAATATGATAATGTGGATATGTAATAGGCTGTCTCTTGTTCTTGTGGCATTGAATTAATAAAGCATTAATAAAAAAAAGTAATAATATACACACACACACACACACTCACACCATATGCATGGGCGACATTTGACTCTTAAGTCAGGGGGGGCTAGAAATAAATATATAATATATTTCATATAAATATATATATGAAATAAATAACTATAAGCAAAATAATTTTTTTTCTGATGTAAGCATCAAAACAATGCCCTATAGCGTATTGCAACGCATCAAAGCAGTCAATCCAAGTCAAGAATAACTTAAAGAGGTTGCCACCGTTTAGTAAACTGTGTGAACTAGTTTAGGCTCTTCCTGATGAACTTGAATGGCGATGCTTCCCGTTTGTCAGTTGATGGCCTTTCATTTTTAACCAGAAATGTGCACGCTGCTTTTCTGATGTTCACTGAAGTTTTCCGTGTCTTTTTCCCGTGTCACTTGAAATCCGTTTTGAATCGTTGTTACCAAAGGCGAGACAGGTGAGGAAAAAATAAACGATCAGTTGTGGGACTATATTCTGTCATGAATCGCATACCATTCATTGCTGAAATTTCTAGCGTCCGGTACTGGAAATGAAATGAAATGACTGGTTGATATGTCCCGATCTCAATAAAGTTTACACTCGCTCGGGACGCGCTGTCTGTGGAGGTTTGGCCAGGACCGGTTCCAGAATTAAATCAACATATGGACACGTGCTGTCTGTGGAGGATTGGCCAGGACTGGTTCCAGAATTAAATCAACATATTTTATGTTCAGTCCATTGCCAATCACTGCTATTTCGAGAGTGAATCCCGCATAAATATGTAGCCTATGTGTCCGAAAAACGAAAGTTTCATACAAATTCTGAATGGATTATAGCCTACCCTAGAAAGTGCGCAAAGCCTGCTCCCTTTATCACTAAAAAGCGTCACTCATCTTCATCGCGATCTTACAAAGTTGTGTTATAATCAATGAAGCTCCCTAAACTGCACAATTAATCTTTTATTTACATCGCGTCTGCACTTAGTCAAGAGATGATTCAGGAGCGTACAAAACTGCACTTAAAAACTGCGGCGCTTTCAGCGGTGAGTGAATTCTTACAAAACATTTCTGATTGGCCATTGCGTTCAAGAAATCAACAGATATGTCTGTGATTGGTTACATTGCTCAACGCTGCAAAAACACGTTGAGGGTATTTAATGCTTGACTGACAATTGGGGAGGAGGGGCCCTAATGTCCTAATGTCGCCCATGACCACATGTATAGCCTACAAATTTATTTAATTTTATATATATTTTTTGTATATAGATAGATAGATAGATAGATTTATGCATAGCACAGCACGTCCTCTTATCCTGCTAGTGAACCTGTAATTAAGGTCTTAATGAGTGCTATCTTTATGAGATTGCATGGTTGGCGTGACCTCTCACTGTGGGCTGCATCAGGTAGCACCCTGTCATTCTGACCAATGCTCTCAGGTCAGTGCTAATGCAGCACTAGCACCGTGTGGAAGCCATCAGAGCCCAACGGCACAGACACAGACACACAGACACACACACACACACACACACACATATATATATAACTTTAAAGGCAATATGAAGGACTATTAAATTAACTTCAAAAAAAGCAACTAATAGGTGATTAAAAATTGTCTAAATATTTGTGACCCTGGACCACATAACCAGCCTTAATTTGCACGGATATATTTGTAGCAAAATACATTGTATAGGTCAAAATTATCGATTTTTCTTTTATGCCAAAAATCATTAGGATATTAAGTAAAGATCATGTTCCATGAAGATATTTTGTAAATTTCCTACCGTAAATATATCAAAACTTCATTTTTGATTAGTAATATGCATTGCTAAGGACTTTATTTGGACAACTTTAAAGGCGATTTTCTCAATATTTAGAATTTTTTGCACCCTCAGATTCCAGATTTTCAAATAGTTGTATCTCGGCCAAATATTGTCCTATCCTACCAAACCATACATCAATGGAAAGCTTATTTATTCAGCTTTTTCAATTTTGAAAAATTGACACTTAAGACTGGTTTTGTGGTCCAAGGTCACATTTAATAATAATAAGGGTAAACAGCATTTAACAATACATGTTTCCTTTATATATTCAAATAATTATAACCTTCATTGTAAAAAATGATGATTCTATGCCCACATGTAAACATTTAGTTTTTGATGTCAAAATCAAGTTTTTTTTTTTACTCATCTCTAGCCTGAAAAACCACGTCATGTTGCATTTTCCCAAAACTCTCTCTTTATCCTTAGACAGACTTAAATGTCACGCCTTGTTACACGAAGGCTGTTGGAATCTCTGCTTGTGAGTAACGCATCAGCATCAGTCCGGCTGATCTCTTCCTGTGGCCTATTCTCCGGCTCACGATACTCCCCTAATCATGACAAGTGTCTCTCTTGTTCGCATCATTAGTTTAGCCTGAGGAGAGAGTTTGTAATTGAGGTCTCTTCTCTTTTGTGTGAAGTTCATTAGGAAGTTAATTCTCACAGTTTGGAGGAAATGCACAATTTAAATAACAAAGGAAATGCAAATGGCTCATTTGGATTGGAGACAAAGGCACCTGATGGGAGCTAATGGATTACGCATCAGGAGAATACCTCCACAAATTAGTCAGCACAAATATTTGGCCAGCGAATTATGCAGCCAAAGAAATGTTGTTTTTGGAAAGCAGATGCAGACAGGCCACAGGTTTTATGTGTAAAATAAAGTGGCATGGCAAGAAGAGTCATAAAAACTCCTGATATGGAAGAAAAACTGAATTACGGCAGCGAGTGTTTCCTAACAGGGCTCATTGTGTGCACTCTTTGTGCATTATAAAAAGTTTTTTTCGGGTCATAAGGGACACAGAACAGCTGAGCATGGCTTCTCACCTCTCAGCTGGGTTCCCTTTTCTGTATTCAGTGTGTCTGTCGCATTGAATTCACGAACTAATGCAAACAGACAAAAAACAACAAGTATTTCCACAACAAAACCTAAGTAAATAACAGCGGCGTGGAAGAAAAGCAGCATGTAGCATTTTATTATCCTTCACCTGCAGGGAGTTTACTTCATTATGGTGAGCACTTCAGACCTAGATGATCTATTCATTATGGTATAGAACCGACATTAAGATTTGACCCCTATTTGGACCTAGCTTATGGTGTAGATCAAGTAATGAATAGGTGGATAATCAGGGATGTGTTTGTTATTGACTTATTTGAGTGTTAACCTACTGAATGACCATAAAATAAAACATATTGTATGAGTCTGTGAAATCTCTGTAGATAATTATTTAATATATGCACTATGTTTATTATTATTATTATTATTATTAACACTACTGGTCAAACTTCTGGAATTTTTATTTTTGAAAGAATTAAAAAAAAAAAGTTAGACTGCATTTAAAACACACTAAAACAGAAATATTGTGAATTTTCAGCAGCCATTCCTCTAGTCTTCAGTGTCACATGATCCTTCAGAAATCATTCTAATGTGCTTATTTGCTGCTCAGTTATTATCAGTTGTTATTGGCCATGAATTATTAATAATGGTTCTTTTATTATTAATGTTAAAAAAACACATTTTTTTGCTAAATATGTCTGATACATTTGTTTAATTATTCTTTGATGAACAGAACGTTAATTTATTCAGCATTTGTTTGCAATGGACGTTTTTGTAACATTATAAATTAATTATTATATATACACAAGTAGGCTATATATATTTTATTTATAATTGAAGAAAAGTATTAAACTAGACAAAAATGCGAAATAGAAGCACATGCCACACACACACACACACACACACACACAAATAATCAATGATAAAAAATCTTAATATTATTACAAAATAATATTACTAATATACTAAATAATATTACAAAATTTATATTTCAACAGCAAATAAATATTGCTTAAACAGTATTTTAAAATATATGTCAGTTAAATTAAGTGTTATAGTGTTAAGTGACAAGTGAAGTGTAAGAAATATTATATAATTAATATTTATTATTTTAGATTATAAAATTAATATACAGGATAAAATTAATATTTCAACAGCAAATAAATATTGCTTAAACAGTATTTTAAAATATATGTCAGTTAAATTAAGTGTTATAGTGTTAAGTGACAAGTGAAGTGTAAGAAATATTATATAATTAATATTTATTATTTATTATTTTAGATTATAAAATTAATATACAGGATAAAATTAAATATAAAATAAATATAAATAAAAGGACAAATTAAAAAAAGTTTTTTTCCAATACGTGCCAATTAAATGAAGTGTCTTCAACATCTTGTGGCACTTATTTTATATGCGAGTGTATTGGAGAGTGTGTGTCTACATAAAGCAATAGTGCCCTTTGTGTGTGTGTGTGTGTATGTGTGTGCATATGTGTGGTGTTTTGAGCACTCAAACATTACCCTAAAGTGGCTGAACACAGTTCTGTGTGTGTGTATGTAGAGTGCTCTCTCATTATCTGTCCGAACTAATGAGCATTCACCGGTGTGTGTGCATATGTGTGGTGTTTTGAGC